TTGCTAAATATTTTGAAAAAATATTTTTTTTAAATTTCCGTTGCTAAATATTTTGAAAAAAAAAATTAAATTTCCGTTGCTAAATATTTTGAAAAAATATTTTTTTAAAAAATCCACGTCGCTAAGTATTTTGAAAAAATATTTTTTAAGAAAAATCCACGTCGGTATTTTGAAAAATATTTTTTAAAAAAAAACACGTCGCTAAATATTTTTGGAAAAAATATTTTTTTTAAGTCCAAGTTAGTAAGTATTTAAAAAAATATGTTTCAAAAAATTTACGTCGATAACTTTTTCGAAAAAATATTTTCTAAAAAATCCAACAGCTCAACTAGAACAACTCACTCCACGCCCATAGCTCCCATATATTTGGCGGAGGTTAATTAATAACACTGTACGACAAAAATCATTATTAAAGTAAAACCAAAAAAAGAAAATACGTATATCGGCGTTGAAAAATATTCCCCCTCTTCGACATTATTGGATTAAGATTCGAAGGAATCTGTTTATTTTAGGTAGATAGTGTCTTCGGCAATATTGCAGATAAAAATACGAGGAATATTTTGATTGAAAATGTTAACCCTCGAGCGATACAAAAAATTGGCTCTTTTGGCCCATTATTTCAAAATATGATTATAAACTCCATTTAAACGGGATCGTTAAAATATTCCACAAAGTTGTTTGTCATAATATTCTACTATAGGTCCTAGAAGACGTCAAGAGTCTAAATCTTATCTGAACGCTAGGAATTCATATACAATAACAACCCATATTTAGGATTAAAGCCGTGTTTTCTGTGAGTTCATGCACTAACTTTCGAGGGATGACGTCAAAGACAAAAATATTCCCCATTAAATTTCACTATAAGTCACCAACGAAAAGAAATGTAGATTTTCACTGTATTTCAAAAAATATTTAAATCAAAGTTCCCAAAAAATATTGAATAAAAAAACTAATTTTAATTTTTAAACAAAAATACACTTCAATTAGTATTTTGAAAAATATTTAAAAAAAATCTCATTAGTAAGTGTTTTGAAAAAACGTTTTTTAAACAAAAAACACGTTGGTAAGTAAATATTGGTAAATTTTTATTTTGAAAAAAAATATTTTTTTTTAATTCACGTTGGTAAGTACTTTGAGAAAATATTTTTCAAAAAATCCACATTGGTAAATATTCTAATAAAAATATTTTTTTAAAAAAAAAAAATCAGGTGGTAAGTATTTTAAAAAAATATTTTTTTTTTAATCCACCTCGGTGATTTTTTGAAAAAATATTTTTTTAAATCCAAAATGGATTTCAAGTAATCCATTCATTTTAGGTAGATAGTGTCTTCGGCAATATGCAGATAAAAATACGAAATTATTTAAAATATGATTAAAAAACTCCATTTAAACGGGATCGTAGCAAGTCAAAATATTCCACAAAGTTATTTGCCATAAAATTCTACTATAGGTCCAAGAAGACGTCAAGAGTCTAAATCTTATCTAAACGCCAGGAATTCACTTTTAGAGGCTAAAGCCGTACTTTGTGTGAGTTTGTGCAAAACTCTCCAACAAAGCATAACTTTCGAGGGATGACGTCAAATATAAAAATATTTCTCATCCAATTTCACTATAAGTCACCATTGTATATATATAAGTCCATTGTAGACCAAAAATTTATGTATTTGAAATTTAATATTATGTTCCCAAAAAACCGAAAATATTCCCTAATTTTTTTGATAAATTTTTTCTCGGACTTATTTCGAGTTGACGCCTGGTAATAATATAAAATTTTATTTTAGGCAAAAGGTGTCAAAAGAATGTATATTCTATTCAAAATTTTACAACAAATCTCAGATTAAATCATGTATCTATGTGCAATAGTTTACAACCCAGAAACTCATATATATTAAAAACCCATTTTAGGGAGTAAAACTGTACTTGTGTGAGTTTGTGCAAAACTCTCCAACAAAGCATACTTTTCGAGGGATGGCGTCAAAGACAAAAATATTTCCCATCAAATTTCACTATGACTCATCAAAGAACAAAAATCTCTATTTCCATTGTATAGCAAAAAATATAAAAAAAATATATATGCCTAATTTTTTGATCAATTTTTCTTCGGACCTTTTTCGAGTTGACCCCTGGAAATAATATAAAATTTAATTTTAGACGAAATGTGTCAAAGGAAGAAATATTCTATACAAAATTTAACAATAAATCTCAGAATAAACCTTATATCTAGGTGCAATAGTTTAAAAGCCAGGGAGTCACATATATTTAAACCCCACTTTTAGGGTTAAAGCTGTACTTTGTATGAGATTATGCAAAAATAGCCTATAATACATCAACAAAAATATTCCTCATCCAATCTCACTATAAGTGACCAAAGAACAAAAATCTCTATTTCCATTGTATAGCAAAAAAATGTTCCCAAAAAAAATCCTGAAAATATTCCCTAATTTGTTTGATCAATTTTTCCTCGGACTTTTTTCGAGTTGACGCCTGGAAATAATATAAAATTTAGTTTTAGGCGAAAGGTGTCAAAAGAAGAAATATTCTATACAAAATTTCAACATGAATCTCAGAATAAACCCTATATCTGGGTGCAATAGTTTCAATGAAAATTCCATTCGAACTTTATGTACCACAAGTTAAAATGATGTTTTTGATTTTTTTACGGTTCAATTGAACACGTATCAAAACCGAGTCAAAATCTTCCATTATCCTTCCTTTTTTGGGCAAAGTATCAAAGTAAGAATTATTCTAGATCGAATTTCAATGTGAGTCTCAGAATAAACTCTATTTCTAGGTGCAATAGTTTTTATGAAAATTCCATTAGAACTGTATGTACCACAAATGACAATTATGTGTCTGCTTTTTCACTGTTTGATTTAACACGTTTCCAATCCGAGTCAAAATCTCCCTTTATCCTTCATTTTTTGGGCAAAGTGTCAAAGTAAGAATGATTCGAGATCAAATTTCAATGTGAGTTTCAAAATGAACCCTATATCTAGGTACAATAGTTTTTGTGAAAATTCTATTAGAACTGTATGTACCACAAATGAAATTTATGTGTTTACTTTTTCACTGTTTGATTTACCGAGTATCCATCTGTATAAAAATCTCCCCTTATCCTTCATTTTTTGGGCAAAGTGTCAAAGTAAGAATTATTCTAGATCAAATTTTAAGGAGGGTCTCTGAACAAAAGTAATTTGTATAATTAATATATACGATTGAAAAGATGGCATCAGTTTTGGTTAATCAAAAGCCTTGTTTATTTATGAACGATTTAGCACTTTTTCCCGATTCGCTGCAACTTTTCTTGTAATTTCCCCCCAAAAAATTTAGATGGGCCGGTCCCATTATATGAGGGCTATACCATATTTCAGTACCAGAAATACTGCGGTACCAGAAATACTCCTTTTAAACTTTATTTTTTGGTGAAAGTGTCAAAGTAAGAATTATTCTAGATCGAATTTCAATGTGAGCCTCAGAATGAACCATATATCTAATTACAATAGTTTTTATGAAAATTACATTCGAAATGTATATACAACAAGTGAAAAAGGTGTGTTTGCTTTTTTTCTGTTTGATTTAACGCGTTTCCAAACCGAGTCAAAATCTCCCAGGAACTTCATTTTTTGGGCAAAGTGTCAAAGTAAGAATTATTCTAGATCGAATTCCGATGTGAGTCTCAGAATAAACCATATATCTAAAAACAATAGTTTTTATAAAAATTGCATTGAAAATTAATGTAGTAAAAGTGAATATTATGGGTTAGCTTTTTTTACTGTTTGATTTACCGAGTATCAATTTGAGTCAAAATCTCCCTTTATACTTGATTTTTTGGGCAAAGTGTTAAAGGAAGAATTATTCTACATGGAATTTCAATGGGAGTCTTAAAATGAACCCTATATCTAGGTACAATAGTTTTTATGAAAATTCCATTAGAACTGTATTTACCACAAATGAAATTTATGTGTCTACTTTTTCACTGCCTGATTTACCGAGTATCCCTCTGTATAAAAATCTCCCTCTATCTTTCATTTTTTGGGCAAAGTGTCAAAGTAAGATTTATTCTAGATCACATTTTAAGGAGAGTCTCTGAACAAAAGTAATTTGTATAATTAATATATACGATAGAAAAACAACATCAATTTTTGTTAATATAAAGCCTTGTTTATTTCTGAACAATTTAGCACTTTTTCCCAATTCGCTGCAACTTTTCTTGTAATTTCCCCCCAAAAAAATTAGATGTGGCACATATGAGGGCTATACCATATTGCAATACCAGAAATACTACGGGCTTTAAAATATTTTAAACCTTATGAAAGCTTGTCATAAGCAAGCCCATGCTTTGGGCTCCTCATTATATTCTTTATTTATTTATTACAAACCTTGAATATTTGAACAAAATTTCGAACATAGAAAAATTTTTTAGAGGCCCTTAAGATGGATTAGAAAACGTTTTTGTATTTTTTAGAAGCACTCTTTGGATATCTATGAAAGATCCATACATATTTTCGATTCAAATTTCCTTTATATTTCGTTTTTACTTTTTCAAAATTTCGCACCTAAAATACTTTTTAAAAGGTCGTTATGTGGAGCTTTTCGAAACCCTCTTGGCTTTTCGAAAACCCTTTTGAATAACTTGTAATCCATAAAAGATCCATACATATTTTCGATTCTTGGCCACATTTCCTTTATATTTTCTTTTCTCTTTTTCAAAACTTACTCTATACAATTTCAAATTTCTTATACAAATCTCTTATTATGTATATGTATTTATATATATATATTAGACTTAAATCTAATTTCTATGCAAAATCGTCCTCTTCTTCTTTTTCAAACAAAAAAAGAAATCTAAAAAAATTGCAACATTGTCTCCAGTTAATTTTTTTTTCTTCCTCGTAAAAAAATAAAATCTACCTCCATATATTTCTTCTTCTTCTCCTCTTCCTTCCTCTTAATCTTAATCATTTAAATTTACAAAAATATTTCTCATCGATCTTGGATCTCTATTGCAAATACACCTCTTCCACTTCACCCTCGTCGTCGAGACACTCTCCCGTAGCTGAGGTCTGCAGTTGCACGGTATGCAGCTGTTGGATGTGATGCGTTTCGACAACCTCTTCCACATCTTCGGCATCTTCAACGGACATGGCTGCCTCAACAACTTGATCAACATTACTGGTACTATATTCGAGGAGATCTTCATCATCCATGTCCGCTGATGTGGCCTGGGTTTGGGTCTGGATACTCATCAAATGGGGTACACCAGCCGAGGTTTGATGGTGATGATGATGTTGCTGCTGCTGCTGATGGTGGTGATGATCGCTTGTTTGATATTCAGCCCCACCTCCACCTCCAGGATGGGTGTGATGATGTATTATGACCTGATGTTGTTGTTGTTGCTGTTGGGGTTGATATTGTTGTTGTTGTTGATGATGTTCCTCGATCTCTTCGACTTCGTGTAGCTCATGATGCTGCAGCTCTTCGGCACTGTGATGGGTGGTTGTGGTAAAAACCAATGGAGGTGGTGATACTGATGTGGCTGTGGTTGTTGTTGTCCTTGTTGTGGCATGATGTGTGGTGGCAATGTGTTGTTGTTGCTGATGATGATGTTGCTGTTGTTGTCGTATAATATGATCTGCGGTATTTTGTTGAGATTTATTAGATCTCTTCAGGGTGACGGTGACCTCAGAGCCTAGACCAGCCAATGAAACGGGGGTGGAGCCGGTTGATGTGCGAACGGTGGTGGTGTTGGCATTGCCATGGCCACCAGCATGATGCTGGGATCGAGTTTGAATGACTCTACGTGTTGTGGTGGTGGTTGGACCGCCACCACTCGATGATGAGCTTTGAATGATACCAGCCGGGCCATGATGTTGTTGTTGGTGGTGATGTTGCTGCTGCTGATGACCCCCACCACCGCCACTACTACTACTGGCAGCAGTGGCATGGGCATGAGAGTGACTAGTGGCATTGTTGTTGTTGTTACCCGCCGCATTCGGTGATATATAATTGATGAGCAATACCCTTTCCCCGGCCGCATTTGTGGTGGCATGGCCCCGCAACATGCGTCGCGTGGCCCTCGACAATGGCTGGGTTGTGGTAATTTGTACATTACCCTGGGCTCCACTAACCATCTGGGCCAATTCGGCGGCACTTACATTCAAAACCTCGCCACCGCTTATGACCGTTGCATTTCCGCCACCACTACCCCCGCTGCCACCGTTTGTCTGTCCCGTTGCCGTTTGGTGTGCTGATGTCGTTGCGGCCACGACAGTTGATGTTGTTACTGCCGACGATGCTGTTGATGCCGCTGCCGTTGTGGGGCCCGCCGTTACGACCTCGACTCCGTTGTCCGTTGTTGCGGCAGCCGCATGTTGATTTGCCGCTGCTGTACCACCGTCGGAGCCGCAGATCATATCGTTGGATCATCATTACGTATTATTACTGCCTTTTAAAATGAAAACCTTCTTTACCAAAATGTTCTTGTTGTTGCCCTGGTTGGTTAGGCGCCCAGGTAAATATTTAGGAAATATTTTTTAGGTTAAGTTTGGAGGTTAGGTTTTGATGATCATGATTTTGGTTTAATGGAACAGCGAATTGTTGTTGTTGTATTTGTTGGTTAGCACATTTGGTTATTGGCAATGACATTGGACGACGATGATGATGATGATGTTTTTCGATGATGATAATGATGAAAAGAGAGTAAAAAGAGACAAGAAAAAGAGAACACACAATTAGTATTTTGTAATGATATTTATGGGGAATGGTTATAAACATTTTTTTTAATTTTGTTATTGTGATGAGAGGCGGGAGGTTTATGAATGGTCTGTCAAAGTATGAAAATATTAGTAACAATATGTGACATAACCTCACTATTTTAGGAAATCTATTTACAACGGATATTCTACAAAAATCTTCTTCAGAAAGGGTTTATATAAATGAAAAAGCAAAATATATAGTGGAATTGAATAAAAATATTGAATTTCGAACATAACCTCAATTTTGCAAAATAGCTTCAACAAAAAGTAATGATATTTTTGGAGTAAAATAAATATTTTAACAAAAATTCTACAATATATAATACATATTTATATAAATTTTTAATATTAATTAAATTTTTTGGAAATTTTGATATTTTGGAAAAAATTTTCAAACATAACCTCAATTTTGGAAAATTTAAATTTTAGCAAATTTCTTTCACTTTTGCAACATATATGTATGTATAACCTAAATCCGAGTAAATTTTTGATACTTAGACTAAATTTTTCAAAAATTTAGAATTTTTGTAAAAACTTCAAACCTAACTTCAATTTTGGAAATTTGATTTTTCACTGCATTCCATCAATTTTGCGATTTATACTTAGATGTACAAGTAAATTTTTTATGCTGAGCCGTAGTTTTTGAAAATTTTAAATTTTTGCATAACATTTTTCGAACCTAACCTCAATTTTGGAAATTGGAATTTCAACAAATTTTCCTTGAATGAAATATATATTAAAAATCTTGAAGGGAAATTCACTTAAATAAAATCCATATTAATGTCAACTTTTATGACTTAAACTCAATTTTTGGAAATTTTGAATTTTTTGACAAATCTTCAAACCTAACCTCAATTTTGAAAAATTAAATTTTAGCAAATTCCTTTCATTTTTGCAACACCTATATACATAAAACAAAAATCGAAGCGTTTTCTCGAATCTCATACTCAATTTAAAAAAAAAAAAAAACTGAATTTTTAAAAAAAAAATTGAAACCTAACCTCAATTATGAAAATATTATTTTACACCGGATTCCATCAATTCTTCAATTTTTACATTTATACAATTTTTTTACAGATATACATGTAAATTTTTTTGATGCTGAGCCGTAGTTTTTGAAAATTTTAAATTTTTGCATAACATTTTTCGAACCTAACCTCAATTTTGGAAATTAGAATTTTAAGAATTTTTTCTTAACAAGGATATATATTAATTCGTAGTAATGTAAACATTTATGACTTAAACTCAATTTTTGGAAATTTTGAGTTTTTTTGACAAATCTACAAACCTAACCACAATTTTGAAAATTTAAATGTTAACAAAAATCTTTCATTTTGCCAAAAAAAAATCGAAATTTTTGTTAAAAAAAAATCAAACCTAACATCAATTTTGAAAATATGATTTTGTAACGGATTCCATAAATTTTGCAATATATACTTAGATATAGAGGTATATTTTTGATGCTGAGTTGCAGTTTTTGGAAATTTTGAATTTTGGATAAATTTTTTCGAACCTAACCTCAATTTTGGAAATTTAAATTTAAACAAATATCTTTCATTTTTACGATATACACATACATAACACTTAAATCCAAGCGATTTTCTAATACTCAGACACAATTTTTACATATCGCAATATTCCATTCGGCAAATATTGAAAAAAGAGCTCGGGGTAAAGCCGTAAAAATTCCAAAAAGTGCAAGAACTTACACAGCAACAGAAATAATATGGACTCTAAAGAGCTAAGGAGTTGCTTCGCCAAAGAGGTGAGCTGACCCCTTCGTTTGGCCAAGAGAACTCAAGCGCCGGCCATGGTGATGGATCGGCCATAACAGCCGATGGTCGCGCTCTCCGCTCGTATTAATCGAACGCGAGAATAAAATTGTGTATGCAAGTCCACGTCTTCGTATAACCCCACATATAACGGTACCTCCTGATATTCGGTATTTTCATAATTTTAGCCACATTATTTACCGGAATTATTTAGAATTTCGTATTTGAAGTTCGTAATGGGTTCTACAGCTTATGACAAAAATTTTTGTATGGAAGCCCACGTCTTCGTATAGCCCCTATATAACGGTACCTCCCAATATTCGGTATTTTCATTATTTTAGCGAAATTATTTACTGGAATTATTTCGAATTTCGTATATGAAGTTCGCAATGGATACTACAGCCTAAGACAAAAAATTGTCTGTGCAGGTCCACGTCTTCGTATAGCCCCCATATAATAGTACCTGCCTATTTTCGGTATTTGTGTGATTTAAGCGACATTATTCACCGGAAATGTTTTAAATTTGGTATTTGAAGTTCGCAATGGGTACTACAGCTTATGACAAAAATTTGTGTATGTCAGGGGAGTCTATATAGACAAAAAAAAAGATTCGGAAACTCTTGTAGAAAATTAAATAGGAAAGGTATTACCACTAAAAAAATGATATTAACATTGAATACAATAACATGCTGGATAAGAGGAAGAGAAGATAAAACAAATCCAGAAAGTATTAATAATAAGAAAATAATCTAGACACTAAAGGTGGTGTTTGAAATTGAAAAGAAAAAAACGATATTATAAAATCCAAAATAACAAAAGAAAGATTAGTAAAATTTCGATAAGGTACAGTAGAACATGGCTATGGTGGAGTAATGGGGAGTAATATTGTTTTAGGTCTATTAGGTTTTGTGTTTGGAAACATTGAAATCACAACAGTAAAGTGAAATGAAAAAAAATTAAGATTCAATATAACTCATGGGTTCATCATGGCCATGTTCGACTGTATTCAGTTTTTATTTATTTATTTATTTTATTTTTTTTTTTTTTTGTGGTATTTTATTTCAATGAAAATTTTTCAGAACAAAATATATCTAAGAATAGGCATTTTTATTTGGATTAGAAGAATAGATGGTTACTAGGAAGCACCGAGGTGGTACCCGGAGAAATGTTTTACAAAACCATTTTATAATTTCAATTTTTGGTGGAGGTGCTCACCATCTCTCTGGGTACATCGTCGCTGCTTGAAAGGGTAACTATTTTCTAAAAAAAAAATAATTAACTACAACTAAAAACAAAATATAATTTTATTTATTTTTTAAGACAATTAGTGGAAATTAACTAAGGAAGCAGATTTTTACAAAAGGCACATTTTTGTATTTTTTTTTTAATTTTACCGAACACAAACTTATTTTGTTTAAAAATTTATAAAATTAAATATACAAATAGTACTTAAAATATGTTTTTTTAATAACTTATAATATTCTAATAACTAATACCAAAAAAAATGGAAATGAAATAATTTTAATGGTAATTAATAACCAGCAAAACAACTGTAAGTTCAGCCAGGCCGAAGTTTGAATACCCTCCACCATTTGGAAGAAATTTGAAACAATTCCGGTGAAATAATGTTGCTTAAATCATGAAAATACCGAATATCGGGAGTTAACGCTATATGGGGGCTATACGAAGACGAGGACCTGCACAGACAATTTTCTGTCATAGGCTGTAATATCCATTACGAACTTCAAATACCAAATTTGACACAATTCCGGTGAATTATGTCGCTAAAATCACCAAAATACCGAATATCGGGAGGTACCGCTATATGGCGACTATACGAAGACGTGGACATGTACAGACAACTTTCTGTCTTAGGCTGTAGTCTCCATTGCGAACTTCAAATACCAAATTTGAAACAATTCCGGTGAATAATGTCGCTAAAATCATCAAAATACCGAATATCGGGAGGTGTCGTTATATGGGGGCCATACGAAGACGTGGAACTGCACAGACAATTTTCTGTCTTAGGCTGTAGTTTCCATTACGAACTTCAAATACCAAATATGAAACAATTCCGGTGAATAATGTGGCTAAAATCATCAAAATACCGAATATCGGGAGGTGTTGTTATATGGAGGCTATACGAATACGTGGACCTGAACAGACAACTTTCTGTTATAGGCTGTAGTCTCCATTACGAACTGCAAATACCAAATTTGAAACAATTCCGGTGAATAATGTCGCTTAAATCACCAAAATAGCGAATATCGGGAGGTGCTGTTATATGGGGGCTATACCAAAACGTGGACCTATATGGCCCATTTTCAATACCAAAAGTCCTGCCGACATAGTACACATTTGAGTAAAATATTATCAACCTACTTCATTTCGTTCGGAAGCTAGAATGATTTCCACAGACGGACATAGCTAAATCGACATAGAATTTTATGCTGATTAAATATATGTATACTTTGGGTCTATACTTGAGGTCTAAAATGTATACTTCGAGGTGTTACAAACGGAATGACAAACTCCATACTATGGTGGAAAGTATAAAAATCGGACACGGATATTGGGGAAAAAATCTTGGATTGCCACTAAAAGAAGTCAATTTCAATTGCCTTTTGGACGTTCTCTATACAAATATCCAATCCTGACTCTTTTACACTTTCCATTGAGAAATCTCTAAGAGGACCAGTAAAGATTACAATTTTAATTGACATCCTAACTCTAGGTCGTCTATGAAAACTCCCAAGCCCCCAGCTCGCCAATGATAGCCATTTTGGTCTCCAGATCACTCTGCTCTTCAGCTGTATCTTTTAAAGACATTCATAAATAAATGGAAATGCCAGAAAATATCAATGAACAGTTTCAAGGAAGTACTTTTGACTTGTTTTTAAGAATGTCACCACGCCCTTTTTAAAATGGATTTTCAAGTTTCGATATATTCTAGAAAAATATTCTCCACAAAATTCTACCATAGACATCTCGGTGCAACATAACAGAAATCGTAACATCAGACTCTCTTAGGAGGTGAAAACAAAACCAAATTTTATTAAAACAAAGTATTTTGACCCCAATTCAAAATTGACACGAAAACGCTGGTTTAGCGACACGCTATGTTCTACAAAAACATTTACCCCGAAATTCTATTAGGCGTTCCGATTCTGAATGTCAGATAAAATTAAAAAACAAAAGAAATTTTTAAGTAAGGGCCGAGTTAAAAGAGTAATTTTAGCTACTTTTCGAAAATTTTACGAAAACCCATTTAAACGGGATTTTAAGGTATGAAATATTTTGGAGAATTTTACGCAACAAAATTCTACTAGGGCTCTCTGAATATGACTCAAATCTAAATGCCTGAAAAGTTTTGAAATAAAATCAAAACTTTGAGTAAATCATGAATACAAGGAGTTTTTTTTTTTGGATAGTTTCTAAAAATGGTACAAAACAATCTTTAAATGAGACTTTTAAGTTTCAATATATTCTGAAGATCGGTTCGCCATAAAATTCTGTTATGGGTCTCTGTTTATAGCATAACTCAAATCTCAGTCCTAATGTGAGAAAAGATGGAAAACAAAATAATATTTTTATGTGAAAAATTAATTAAAGCTATTTTCTGACTACTTTCCAAAAATGGTACAAAACACCGGTTAAATTCGATTTTTAAGGTTCGATATTTTCTGAAGATCGGTTCACCATAAAATTCTGTTAGGGATCTCTGAATATAGCATAACTCAAATTTCAGTCCTAATGTAAGAAAAAGTTTAAAACAAAAACATTATTTAAAGTAAAGAATGAATTAAGGGTATTTTCTGGCTACTTTCCAAAAATAGTATAAAACACCGCTTAAATGGGATTTTTAAGGTTCGATATATTCTGAAGATAGGTTCGTCATAAAATTCTATTGGGGGTCTCTGGATATATCTCAACTCAAATCTCAGTTATAATGTGAGAAAAGGATGGAAACAAAATAATAATTTAAAGTGAAGAATGAATTAAAGGCATTTTTCGAACTAATTTCCAAAAATGGTACAGAACACCGCTTAAATGGGATTTTTAAGGTTCGATATATTTGGAAGATCGGTTCGCCATAAAATTCTATTGGGGGTCTCTGAATATAGCATAACTCAAATCTCAGTCCTAATGTGAGAAAAAGATGGAGACAAAAAATATAATTTTAAGTAAAGAATGAATAAGGGTATTTTCTGGCTACTTTCCAAAAATGGTACAAAACACCGGTTAAATTTGATTTTTAAGTTTCGATATATTCTGAAGATTGGTTCGTCATAAAATTCTGTTAGGGGTCTATCAATATTGCATAACTCAAATCTCAGTTATAATGTGAGAAAAAGATGGAAACAAAATAATATTGACAAAATAATATTGACTTGACAAATTTTCAAAAATGGTACAAAACACCACTTAAATGAGATTTTTAAGGTTCGACATATTCTAAAGATCGGTCCGCCATAAAATTCTGTTAAGGGTCTCTGTTTATAGCATAACTCAAATCTCAGTCCTAGTGTGAGAAAAGATGGAAAACAAAATAATATTTTTATGTGAAAATTTAATTAAAGGTATTTTTTGACAAATTCCCAAAAATGGTACCAAACAATCCTTAAATGGGATTTTTAAGGTTCGATATATTTGGAAGATCGGTTCGCCATAAAATCTTATTGGGGGTCTCCGAATATAGCATAACTTAAATCTCAGTCGTACTGTGAGAAAAGATTATAAAACAAAATAATATTTTTATGTGAAAAATTAATTAATGGTATTTTTTGACAAATTTTCAAAATTGGTACAAAACTCTGCTTAAATATGATTTTTATGGTTCGATATATTTGGAAGATCGGTTCGCCATAAAATTCTGTTAGGGGTCTATCAAAATTGCATAACTCAAATCTCACTTATAATGTGAGAAAAAGATGGAAACAAAATAATAATTTTAATTGAAGAATGAATCAAAGGCATTTTCGACTAATTTTCAAAAATGGTACAAAACACCGCTTAAATGGGATTTTTAGGGTTCGATATATTCTGAAGATCGGTTCGCCATTAAATTCTGTTAGGGGTCTCTAAATATAGCATAACTTAAAACTCAGTCCTAATGTAAGAAAAAGTTTAAAACAAAAACATTTTTTAAGTAAAGAATGAATTAAGGTATTTTCTGGCTACTTTCCAAAAATGGTACAAAACACCGGTTAAATTCGATTTTTAAGGTTCGATATATTCTGAAAATCGGTTCGCCATAAAATTCTGTTAGGGGTCTCTGTTTATAGCATAACTCAAATCTCAGTTATAATATGAGAAAAATATGGAAACAAAATAATATTTTTAAGTGAAAAATGAATTAAAGGTATTTTTTTTTTTTTTGACAAATTCCCAAAAATTGTACCAAACAATCCTTTTTTTAAGGTTCGATATATTTGGAAGATCGGCTCGCCATAAAATTCTATTGGGGGTCTCTGAATATAGCATAACTCAAATCCCAGTCATAATGTGAGAAAAAGATGGAAACAAAATAAAGATTTTAAGTGAAGAATGAATTAAAGGCATTTTATACAAATTTCAAAAATGGTACAGAACACCGCTTAAATGGGATTTTTAAGGTTCGATATATTTGGAAGATCGGTTTGCCATAAAATTCTGTTAGGGGTCTCTATTTATAGCATAACTCAAATCCTAGTCCTAATGTGAGAAAAATATGGAAACAAAATAATATATTTATGTGAAAAATTAATTAAAGGTATTTTTTGACAAATTTGGTACAAAACTCTGCTTAAATGTGATTTTTAAGGTTAGATATATTTGGAAGATCGGTTCGCCATAAAATTCTATTGGGGGTCTCCGAATATAGCATAACTCAAACCTCAATCATAATGTGAGAAAAAGAAGGAAACAAAAACATGTTTCCAAGTTAAAACTGAATTGAAGGTATTTTCTGGTTACTTTCCACAAATGGTATAAAACACCGGTTAAATTTGATTTTTAAGGTTCGATATATTCTGAAAATCGGTTTGCCATAAAATTCTATTGGGGGTGTTTGTTTATAGCATAACTCAAATCTCAGTCCTAATGTGAGTAAAAGATGGAAACAAAAAATATAATTTTAAGTAAAATTAAACAACCTATAAAAAACAGCTTTTAAGACTTGATTTAAGAAAAATATATAAACTCATAAAGTTCTAAATAATATTTCCATAAAAAATTGTTTATATTACAAAGATTTTTTTTAAATTAAAAGTAAGCTTAACTTTTTACAGAAAAGAAAAACACAAAAGACCATGGGAAAATTTTGTTTTTTTTTAATTATTATCTATTTATAGATATTTTGTAATTTATCTAACACAAAGTTTTTTTTTGTAAGAGAAAAGATAAAGATAAAAGAATAAGAGTAATTATTTAACATAAGGGTGGGGGGATAAAACGAAGATAACTTAAAACCAAGTTTTTAAAGCGAATTACATACGAAACTAAATTATAACTATATTTAAAACAAATAGTACAGGACACAATTAGCATTGGAGGGTTTTGCCGGGGGTGTGGTGGGGGAAAAGCTTTTAGCTCTACCAAAGGCAGGTAAGAACATACAGGGGGGGAGAAAAACACAAAATGCAGTTTAAAGAACCAAAAGGGATTTAATTTTACGAAAAGCAAAAGAAAGTACATAGCTCTTAAATGGTAAATGGAAACAGAACAAAGATAATCAAAAAATTATGCTACAGAAATGTTGAAAATTGTTTTCTTATTTATTTTTGTTTTTGTTTTTTTTTTCACTTCTTTAAGTTAAACCAAAAGAATTTTGTTTTAGTTAATTTTAATAATTTACAAACTAAAGGGTTTTGGGGGGTTAGTATTAAACTTAGGCTATTGACATAATTGTTTATATAGACTCCCAAATAAAAAACATAAAACCTTGGGTGAAACATAACAAAACCAATTCTGAAAAAAGTCGCAGATTTGGAAAATTTCATGGAAGAAGATAAATTGTTGGCTATAGAAATCATCTCCTTCTTCAGATTTCTTCCATGAATTTTTCCAATCTAGGTTAAATCAAATACAATAAATAGCTTGTCATTTTGGGGAAGGGGGGTTGGTTTCTGGAGGAGTACAACAATTCCACTAAAGGTGTTGTTATGACGTTCTACTTATTTCTAAATTTGCTAAAATCTAAACAAAGAAAATAAGTATTTAAAGCCAAGAAAGATGTTTGCTTTCTTCCCCTCACTACATGTTTTTCTAAGAATATTTGAAAAAAAAAAGTTAGAAAATAAAAAACAAATTGTCTTAATTTTTTCTTTTGTTTAAAAATAATTTTTTCTTTGTGTGTGTTTGTGTGCGTGTGTGGCAATTAGTTTTGTCATCCGTCCACTCTCTCTATCTTTCTTACGCTCTCTCACCACCCACTCATCACAATGTTGGATGTGTTTGGTATTCAGTCATATTCACCTGATTGATATTGCCCAAAATTTGATGGCCCGAGGGCAGGGTTTGGACCTGGGCAATTGATAGCGAGGTGGTGCCATCGGTATTTTCGGTTTGTGTTACAATTTGTTGGGCTTGTTGTTGATTCTGTTGCTGCTGCTGTTGTTGTTGCTGGGCTTGCTGTTGTTGTTGCTGCTGTTGTCCCGTGGTTGTTGTAGTCGTCGTGGTGGATATATTGCCCGATTGATCGATTATATGATGCTGTTGTATCTGTTGAGCCTGTTGAACTTGAACTTGTTGCACCTGTTGTTGCTGTTGTTGGTTTTGTTGTTGCTGGTTCTGCTGTTGCTGATTCTGCTGTTGTCCGTTGTTGTTGTTGCTGCCCGTTGTTGTCGTGGTCACTGTCATTGTCTGTCCTTGGTTTTGTGCATCAGGATCCTTCTTAACTTGCACCGTCTGTAGGGTGTGCAACGATTGTACCGATTGCACCTGCGGCACCGTGCTAACCGATGTCGTGGTCACTGTCGATGTACCAGATGCATTCGTTGAACCGGGTGGTACAGCCATGGCGGTTTTCTTACCGGGAGCTAAAAAAGAAAAGAAACAACAAAAAACAAGATGTTAGAAATGGGAAGTCTAAACAAAACACCTTGGGCCTCGGCGAGGCTATTTTACACAAGAACTGCTTACGGTCTTTCTGAAACGTTTCTCTTGCGGTTTTTTACATTTTAGGCATAGATTGTGCATTTTTGTGGTAAAAAAAACACAATTTTAATTAAAAAGCCTATTTTGACGACTTTTCTAAATTGGACGGAAACACATCGAAAACGTCGCTATAGAGATCCGTAACATTCTACAAAAAGGTTAAGCACAAAATTCTACAAGGGGTCTTTGAATGTATCAATACTGAAATCTCAATCTGAATATCCAAAAGAGGAGGAAACAAAATCAATATTTTAAGAAAAGACTAAATTAAAGGTGTATTATTGGTTGCTTCACAAAAATGCTTCGAAAGATGCATAAAACGGGATTATGACGAATCGATATATTCTAGAAAAATGTTCTCTAGAAAATTTTACTAGGGGTCTCCACATGTAGCGGGACTCAAATAAAGACAGAAGTTTATCAAAGAGGTGAAAACAAAAATAGAATTTCAAGTAAAGCACGTATTTTGGCCATTTTCTACATTGGTCGAAAACGACTCGAAAACGTCGCTATAGAGTTCCGTAACATTCTACTAAAAGGTTAAGGACAAAATTCTACTAGGAGTCTCTGAATATAGCATAACCCAAATCTCAATATAAATATCCAAAAGAGGAGGAAACAAAATCAATATTTTAATAAAATACTAAATTAAATAAGTATTATTGGATGTTTTACAAAAATGCTATAAAAGACACATAAAACTTGATCATGACAAATCGATATATTCTAGAAAAATGTTCTCCAGACAATTTTACTAGAGGTCTCCAAATATAGCGGGACTCAAATAAAGACAGATGTTTATCAAAGAAGTGAAGACAAAAATAGAACTTCAAGTAAAGCACGTATTTTGGCCATTTTCCAAATTGGTCCAAAACGACTCGAAAACGTCGCTGTAGAGTTCCGTAACATTCTACAAAAAGGCTAAGCACAAAATTCTACAAGGGGCCTCTGAATATAGCAAGACTCAAATATCATACTAAATATCCGAAAGAGGATGGAACAAAATCAGCATTTTCAGAAAATACTAAATTACAGGAATTTCATTGGTTGTTTTAAAAAAATGCTATAAAAGATACATAAAATGGGATTATGATGAATTGATATATTCTAGAAAAATTGTGTCTAGACAATTTTACTAGGGGTCTCCACATAGAGCGAGACTGAAATAAAGACAGATGTTTATCAAAGAGGTGAAAACAAAAATAAACCAAATAGCCATTTTTTTAAATTGGTCCAAAACACCATTAGAGTTCCGTAACATTCTACAAAAAGATTGACCACAAAATTCTACTAGGGGTCCCTGACTATAGCATAATCCAAATCTCAACCTAAATATCCGAAAGAGGAGGAAACAAAAACATAGCTTTAAGTCAAGACAAAAATGTTGACTCCTTTTTAAAAATAATTAAAAACACTTCCAAAACGGAATTTTTAAGTTTTGATGTATTTAGAAAAAATGTTCTCCATAAAGTTATACGAAGGGTCTCTGAATAGGGCATAACCCAAATCTCAATCTAAATATCCAAAAGAGGTAGAAATGAAAATACAATTTTATAGCAAAACTAAATTTAATAAACATTTTTGAATATTTTTCAAAATTGCTACAAAACACCACGAAAACGGAATTTTTAAGCTTCATTATATTCTAGAAAATTGTTCTCCACAAAATTCTACTGAGGGTCTTTCAGTATAGCATAGCTCCAATCCCAACCTAAATGCCAAAAAGAGGAAGAGAAAAATGACAATTTTATGTCAAAACTAAATTTAATTAACATAATTGAATAGTTTTCAAAAATGGGACAAAACACCTCGTAAACGGAATTTTTTGGCGTCCAATTATTCTAGAAAATGGTTCTAGACTAAATTCTACTGGGGGTCTCTCAATATAGCATAACTCCAATCCCAACCTAAATGCCAAAAAGAGGAAGAAACAAAAATACAAATTTATGTCAAAACTAAATTTAATTACATTATGGAATAATTTTTCAAAAATGGTACGAAACACCTCAAATGCGGGATTTTTTGGCTTCAATTATTTTAGAAAATGGTTTTACACTAAATTCTACTGGGGGTCTCTCGATATAGCATAACTCCAATTCCAACTTAATGGCAAAAAAGGAGGAAACAAAAATACAATTTTATGTCAAAACTAAATTTAATTAACATTATTGAATATTTTTCAAAAATGGTACAAAACACCACGAAAACGGACTTTTTAGGGCTCGATATATTCTAGAAAATGGTTCTACACTAAATTCTACTGGAGGTCTCTCAACATAGCATAACTCCAATCCCAACCTAAATGCCGAAAAGAGGAGAAAACAAAAATACAATTTTAAGTCAAGACTAAATTTAATTAACATTATTGAATATTTTTCAAAATTGCTACAAAACACCTTGAAAACGGAATTTTTAGGCTTCAATATATTTTAGAAAATTGTTTTCCACAAAATTCTACTGGGGATCTTAAAGTACAACGAAACTCAAATTTCAATTTAAATGTCGGAAAAAGTTCGAAACAAAAACATAATTTTAAGTCAACACTAAATTAAGGAGTATTATTGAAAATTTCTTGAAAAATGATACAAAACACATTGAAAACGGAATTTTTAGGCTTCAATACATTCTAGAAAATTGTTCTCCACAAAATTCTACTGGGGGTCTCAAAGTACAACGAAACTCAAATTTCAATTTAAATGTCGGAAAAAGTTCGAAACAAAAACATAATTTTAAGTCAACGCTAAATTAAAGGAGTATTTCTGAGTATTTCTTGAAAAATGGTACAAAACACCTTGAAAACGGAATTTTTAGGCTTCAATATATTCTAGAAAATTGTTCTCCACAAAATTCTACTGGGTGTCTCAAAGTACAACGAAACTCAAATTTCAATTTAAATGTCGGAAAAAGTTCGAAACAAAAAAATAATTTTAAGTCAAAGCTAAATTAAAGCAGCATTATTGAGTATTTTTTTAAAAAATGATACAAAACACCTTAAAAACGGAATTTTTGGGCTTCAATATATTCTAGAAAATTGTTCTCCACAAAATTCCACCATGGGTCTCGGAATACATCATAAGCCAAATCCTAATATGAGTCTCTCAAAAAGATCAGTTTCAATATGAAAATGTATTTTAGAACCCTTTTTCATTTCGTTTCATCTGCAGAGCCTCCCTCTGGCCTTCATTTTTTCCATAAACCTGATCTTTCTCTGACCTTCAGATTGTTTGCACAATACTTCATTACCTCCAACTGGCCCCTAAAAAGAGGATCCCCAGAATTCTGGTTCCTGAGCAACGTATTTTCCCCTTTCCAAACTACAAATTCATCTCGGAAGTTTATCAGCAACACAGCGCACATAGTTGTTACAATAGTAGAGGGTAGTACTGAATGATTTGATTGGATTAAGTTGAATAAAAATGACACGTTCAATGATTATTTTTGTATGAATGTATGTGTGTGTGATGTAAGTGAGTGAGTGAATATGAAATGATGTTAGAAATACAAAATTTTGTTTACAATTTTATAAATTTTAATACTTTTTTTGTGTTTGTGTGTGTGTTTTTCGGTTAGTATATTAAAAAAAAACAAAACAAAAACCAAACTTTATCGTGATGAATTTGTAGTTGCGAGAAAAAAAAAATCAGAAGAGGGAAGAAGAATTAAAAAATTCAATGCAAGGTGGTCAGAGATCTTGGGGGAACTTGGGGATTTAAATAGTATTCAAAAAGAATATCTGAAATATCTAACTACAGAATAAAGTTCAGATTAATAAATGATATTCTCAAAACTAGAGTAGTAAAAATTATAAATACCAAAAAACAAAAACAAGGAATACAAACTCATAACAAATAAGGTTTGGTTTTTCTTTCATTATGTCCACTTTATTTATAAAGAAGTTTTCACTTTCATGTTTCGTTTTCTCTTTTTGTTGTTGTTGTTAATTGAATGTGTATATATGTAAGTATTAGGTGTAGTTATGTTATTCTAGTATTATTATAAATTATATTATAAAAAAATATATATATTAAAATACATAAACTAATAATTTAAAAAATAGTTTAGAATTATAAATATTTTAAAAATATAAATTTGTGTTTTTTTTTGTATTTTTTTCTGCCATTTAAATGACTATTATTAAGTATTTCTTTACAATGCTTAATACAAGAAAAAAATAAAAACAAAATTATTTAAATAATTTTGATTTTTTTTTAGATTTGTATTCTCTTTTTTAAAAAATTTTTAATAAAAAATACATGAGATTATAGGTTTTTTTACAATAATATAATTTAAAAGTTGTAGAAAAAATGGGAATTGAGTGAAGCTTTAGGAAGATCCTTAAAGAGAGGAATTTGAATTTGGACCCTAAAAATAGGACTCACTTTAGTTTGTCCATAAAGAAGCCATTCGGGTAGTCTAGAAAAATTCTCTTCTTTTTGCAACTGCAGGGTTAGCTGCAGGTTATTTTTATTCGTAACAACACCAAGAACAGTTTTGTAGAACATATTTAGTATCCTTTAGGAATTGATGTAGTATTTATAGTAAATTTCAAAATTATTACAAAACACCCCGAAAATGTGGATATTGTAATTCGTGATGGTCTACAGAAATATTCTCCACAAAATTCTACTAGGGGTCTCTGAACACAGCATAGCTCAAATCAAAAGATTTAATTAGAGAAAGATGTAAACAAAAACATTACTTTTGATAATATTTCATGGGAGTACTTTTACGCAATTTTTAAAAAATATGTCCAAAACAACCCTCAATCGAGGATATTGAAATTCGCAATAGTCTACAAAATCATTCTCCACAAAATTTTACTAGGGATCTCTGAATACAGCATAGCTCAAATCGTAGCATAAAGTGAGAAAAAGATAAAAATAAAATCACCATTTTTAGAAAAATGTTTTTTTGACATTTTCCAAAAAATGTACAAAACAACCCGAAAACGTGCACATCGAAGTTCGCGATAGTCTACAAAAATAATCTCCACAAAATTCTACTAGGGGTCTCTGAATACAGCATAGCTCAAATCGTAGCATAAAAGTCGGAAAGAGGTAAAAATAAAATCACCATCTTCAGAAAAATGTTTTTTTGACACTTTTCAAAAAATGTACAAAACACCCTGAAAATGTGAAGATTGAAGTTCGCGATAGTCTACAAAAATATTCTCTATAAAATTCTGCTAGAGCCCTCTGAATACAGCATAACTCAAATCGTAGCATAAAAATTAGGAAAAGATAAAAATAAAATCACCATTTTTAGTTATAGGTAATTGAAGTAGTTTTTTGACACTATTCAAAAAATGTACAAAACAACCCGAAAACGTGTAGATCGAAGTTCGCGATGGTCTACAAAAATATTCTCTATAAAATTCTACTAGGGGTCTCTGAATACAGCATAACTCAAATCGGAGGACAAAAGTGAGAAAAAGATAAAAATAAAATCAACTTTTTTAGTTATAGTTTATTTGAAGTAGTTTTTTGACATTTTCCAAAAAATGTACAAAACAACCCGAAAACGTAAACATCGAAGTTCGCGATAGTCTACAAAAATATTCTCTATAAAATTCTGCTAGGGGTCTCTGAATACAGCATAACTCAAATCGGAGCACAAAAGTCGGAAAAAGATAAAAAATAAAATCACCATTTTTAGAAAAATGTTTTTTTTTACTCTTTTCATAAAATGTACAAAACACCCCGAAAACGTGAAGATCGAAATTCGCGATTGTCTACAAAAATATTCTCTATAAAATTCTACTAGGGGTGTCTGAATAAAGCATAGCTTAAATCGCAAGAAGATCAGAAAAAGGTGAAAATAAAATCACAATTTTTAGAAGAAGTTTTTTTTTGACTCTTTTCAAAAATTGTTTTTGAAAAAGCTACGAAATTCTGCTAAAACTTGAATTTTGAGACTTGTCATGTTCTACAAAAATGTTCTTCACAAAATTCCACTGGGGGCATCTGAATATCCAAAAACTCTAAACATAAGCTAAAGGCTGAAATTAGGTAATAACAAAAAGAATATCTTTTGTAAAGTAGAAAAATAGTTTGAATGGCCCCCATCAAAGATATCCTTACAATGTGGGCCACCTATTGATTTTTCTGCTTTAGAAAAGATAGTGCCAGATAATAATAGGAACCTTTTGATAGATACTCTAGAGAAAAATGGGATCTTTACTGATTTTAAAAATATACTATTCCCAAATAAAACTCCCTTTTTTTCTACAACTTTTCTTTCATAACTTATAATAATGTTGTTGTTTTTTTGTTTGTGTTTAAAATTATACAAATAAAATTAGATAAAATTTTAAATTACTTTGAAGTAATAATCTGATATATACAAAAAAATATATATATGTTTAAAAAAATTAAAAACTTTGAAAGAAAACCATAAAGGAATTGCATTTAAGCGTTTGTTTCTGTTTAAGAGAGAGAGGGAGAGACAGACAGACAGAGATTTACTTGCCAACCGCTGGTGGGCATTGTTAGAAGAAGGAAGCAGAAAATTATCAAAATTGCAACTCGAAATGCAATGGAAGATATGTCAAACAAAAAGATGAAGAAGAAAAGTAAATGATGTCAACAAGGAATGCATGATGATAATGATTGATGTTGTTGTTGAGAAAATGATGATGCTGAGCGGGTAAGTATTGATTAGAAACAAAGAAAATGTGTGGTGTTTTATGATTATTGCTGTTGATGTTGCTGCTGCTGTTGTTGTTGCTGCTGTTGTTGCTGTTGCTGCTGCTGATAAACTTCCTCACTAACTATGTGTATGACATTTTGCATTTGACCTTGATTCGCCGCATTGGCCACCTGCTGAGCCGTTGCTGTACCCACAATACAACCACCAGCGGTTGTGGTAATGGTTGCGGCGGCGCCTGGCTCCTGTTTAAGTACGGGCAATTGGGTGATGGTATTGCCCATAATTATGGGCGTGCCACCACTTGTTACCGCCGTCGTCGTTGTATTCATGGGTATCGCATTGCTCACAGCCGTGACCAAGGCATTGACACCACCACCGCCGCCGTTTGCATTATGTCCACCCGCCGTTGTCGTTGTTGTATTATCTAGTATACCACTGGCATCGCTGGTCATTGTCGTCGAACCTAACATTGTTGTGTTGTTACCGTTCATTGCCTCAGTCGATGCATCTAGATCGGCACCGGTGCCGCTGCCATTAGCACCACCACCTGACTTACTTTTCTTTTCCTTTTTCACACCGGGTTTGGCAAAATGTCTCAGCTCCAAGTGACGACGTAAGTTGCGCGATTGACGAATGACAGCGTAACATATGGGACATGTGGCCGGTTGTTCGGATTGTGATCGGGAACGAGGTTCTGGAAAAAGGAGATGGAGAAAAATTAATGAGAAATCGAAATTGAAAGAAAATCTCAATGAAATGTATGACGTGGATAATGTATCTGCATTATTCAAGTGTCCAAGATAAGATTTCGATCATGGATAATGTATCTGCATTATCCAAATAGCATGGATAATGTATCTATGCCATACAAATGGCATGAATAATGTATCTACGCTATCCAAATGGCATGAACAATGTATCTACACTCTCCAAATGGCAAGAATAATGTATCTACACTATCTAAATATAATAGATAATGTATCTTTATTGTTCAATTGAAGTGGATAATGTATCTACTTTATGTAATTAGCATGGATAATGTATCTATACTACACAAATGACGCGCATAATGTATCTACACTATTCAAACGGCATGGATAATGTATCTACACTATCCAAATGGTTTAAATAATGTATCTACAACATCCAAATGACAGGTATAATGTATCTACACTATCTAAATAGCATAGATAATGTATCTTCATTGTTGAAATGAGGTGGATAATGTATCTGCACTATCCAAACGGCATGGTTAATGTATCTACACTATTTAAATGACATGGATAATGTATCTACACTATCCAAATGGCATGAATAATGTATCTACGCTATCCAAATGGCATGAATAATGTATCTATCCTATCTAAATATAATAGATAATGTATCTTTATTGTTCAAATTAGGTGGATAATGTATCTACTTTATGTAATTAGCATGGATAATGTATCTATACTACACAAATGACGCGCATAATGTATCTACACTATTCAAATGGCGTGGATAATGTATCTACACTATCCAAATAGTTTAAATAATGTATCTACAACATTTAAATGACAGGGATAATGTATCTACACTATCCAAATGCCGTGAACAATGTTTGTAGACTATCTAAATAGCATGGATAATGTATCTACACCATCCAAATGGCATGGATAATGTATCTACATTATCCAAAAGGCATGGATAATGTATCTACACTATCCAAATAGTTTAAATAATGTATCTAAAACATCCAAATGACAGGGATAATGTATCTACACTATCTAAATAGCATAGATAATGTATCTTCATTGTTCAAATGAGGTAGATAATGTATCTACACTATCCAAACGGCATGGATAATGTATCTACACTATCCAGAAGGCATGGATAATGTATCTACACTATCCAAATAGCATGGATAATGTATCTACATTATCCAAAAGGCATGCCATCCAAAATGGCAGGGATAATATATCTACACCATCAAAATGGCATGAATAATGTATCTATACTATACAAATGGCATGGATAATGTATCTACATTATCCAAAAGGCATGGATAATGTATCTACACTATCCAAATAGTTTAAATAATGTATCTACAACATCCAAATGACAGGGATAATGTATCTACACTATGTAAATAGCATAGATAATGTATCTTCATTATTCAAACGGGGTGGATAATGTATCTACACTATCCAAGTGGCATGGATAATGTATCTACATTATCCAAATTGCGGGGATTATGTATCTACACTATCTAAATAGCATAAATAGAGTATCTCCAATCTCCAAATGCCATGGATAATATATCTAAATTATCCAAATGCAATGGATAATGTATCTACATTATCCAAATGGTGTGGATAATGTATCTACTCTATCTAAATAGCATAGATAATGTATCTATACTATCCAAATGGCAAGGATAATTTATCTAAACCGTGTAAATTATCCATATGACGTTTAAAAAGTATCTCCATTTTCTAAATAGCTTGCATTTTGTAGAAGAAAAAAGTCGCTCCTCCATCGACTACTACTTACTCTCTCCACTCAAATTCTTGGTACGTTTGCCAGTTTTGCCAGGTGTTGAAATGCTTATTTCACCACTTGTGTTCGGGTCCATAACGATCGTTTCCACTTTGGTAACTTCACTCTTGATAATCGGTGTCGAGGTGATCATTGAGCCGTCATTACCATTTTCGATCTGTTGCTGCTGCTGTTGTTGTTGTTGCTGCTGTTGGACCTGTTGTTGCTGGGTTGTCTGTACCGTGGCCGTGGGATGAGATGTTGTTGGGGTGCTGATAATCGTGTCCATGCCTTCAACTTTAGTGATTTTCGGAGCAGTGGCTGTTTTGCAAAGCAAAGCAAATGAAATTAAATTTTTGAAATACCAAAAAAAAATGCATTTCAAACTTACGTGACATTTTCTTAACACGAGGTTTACGTTTGCGTGCCGGCAAATATTGCTGTATAACATCCTTGGTAGCATCTGTGGTCACAATGGTCTGTTGTTGTCCTTGTTGAGTTTGTGTGGTCGTTTGCAGAATTTGTCCAGCCTGATGTATGTCGTCAACAACTTGAGCATGTACCGTTTGTTGGGGAGCCGTGGCAATGGTGGCAATCAATTGTTCTTGTTCCTATCGTCATAAATTTTATTATTTCATTTGTCTTTTTCAATTTTTTTCTTTGATTTTAACTTACATGGTGGTGTTGGGGTATCATATGTTGCAATTGTATCGAATGCGTATAGTCGTCTTTGGTCACAGTTTGTGGCGCCAGTCCTTGTATATTCAAACATTGTGCTGCCTGCAACAGTGATGGTAATTGGGCATGATCGACACTCACCTCACCACGATAGACAAACTCCAGCAATGCCTCCAAATCGTTGGCATTGACACCGGCCAACATAACGACCGGATGTTTGCAGGGGGTGTTCTAAAATTGAATTAGAAAACATATTTTTTAATTTATTTCATTAAAGGAGAGAAAATGAGACATCAAAAGGCTTTTTTCTCAAAACTATTTAAATCGAAAAGGGAAATGTCTTCCGATTAAGGGAAATGCATATAAGAACTGTGTAAAAATTCAGGATGATCGTCTTCCCTTCTTCTTAGGAAAGAAATTGTATTAATGGGTCCTATACTTTCTTTTACTGAAGCACTGAAGGGGCTAGAATAATAACTCTGCAAATAGAGTTTTATAACTCTCTGTGGGACCTTTAATAAAAATCCTAAAATATTCGTATCTGATACCAAAAGCTAAATAATTCCCATATGATCTAGTGGCAAGGATTTTTCTTGATAGAAATCATATATTAATAGTTTTCCAAGTTCTAAATTCTCTCTTATAAAACTTTATCGTTTACTCAAAATTTCCTCAAATGATCAGCATGTCGTAAAGTCATAGAATATTTCCTTTTTATTCCCATATGTTCTAGTGACGAGGACATCTAATTCGATTTAATAATTATTGCCATTTCCAAATACTTCCAACTTCTGAAGAAAATGCATTTGATTTTTTCCCATATGTTCTAGTGACGAGGACACCTAATTCGATCTAAAAACCACTATCGTCTCCAATGACTTTTAACATCTAATAATCATTGGATTTTCTTAATTCCCATATGTTCTAGTGGCGAGGAAAACTAATGCGATTTAAAAATTATTGTCGTTTCCAAAGAATTTTTAAATCTAAGCAATAAAATTAGTAAAAATAGTACACGAAATTAACATCCGATTCCATTCAGACTTGCTACATCTCAATATTTCCACCAGCACAAGATTTGTTATAAAGATGGTAGAGATTGGACCATTCATTCTAGTACCTCCCCCACAAAGGGTTTAAGTTTAGAATAACCAAAAGGATCATAAAATCCAAAATAAGCATCCGATTCTTTTCAAATTACACACATTACAATACTTGTATTGGCCCAAGGTCTGGTGTGAAGATAGGATATATTGGCCCACTTTTTTGATACCTCCCCCACAAAGGGATAACATTTTGAGTATCCATGAAGCACCGATTGCATTCAGACTTGGCACATCTCAATATTTCCATCAACACAAGATCTGTTATAACGATGGTAGAAATCGGACCATTCCTTCCCGAACCTCCCCCACAAGATTTTAAGTTTTGAATATCAAAAGCGATAATAAAATCCGAAATAAGCATCCGGTTCTCTTCAAATTACAAACATCACAATATTTTTATTAACCCAAGGTCTGTGAGCACATGGGATATATCGGTCCATTCCTTCTGGTACCTCCCCCAGGGATAAAATTTTGAGTATCCATGGAACTCAAAAATATAGACTTGGTACATCTCAATATTTCCATCAACACAAGATATGTCATAAAGATGGTAGAGATCGGACTATTTATTCTGGTACCTCCCCCACATAGAGTTCAAGTTTTTGAAGAACCTTTGTGGTACCTCACCCACAAAAAGTCACAACATTCAATACTTATATCAGTTATAGCTTGCGAAGCTTGACATATCTAAATATTTCCTCCAAATCTTTGCAAGATGATATGGTATGCTGGAGGATTTTTCCATCGAGATAGCTTCATAAATTCTTTATGGGGTTCATGTCTGTACTCTGGTATTCCCTTCAAACCTTTGCAAGATGATATGGTATGCTGGCGGATTTTTCCATCGAGATAGCTTCATAAATTCTCTATGGGTTTCATGTCTATACTCTGGGCTGGTGTATACATGATGTGGGGACAATTATATAGCAGCCACGACCGCACTTTATAAACCTTGTGTTTCGGATCATTGTCTTGATAAAAAAAAATAATAATCTTCATCAAGGCCGAGTTTTCCCTTACAGAGTGGCAAACTTTCTTCCAAATGTAAGGTACATAGTCTGATCTGATAATACCCTCAAAAAATGCATTACACCAGAGGTCCAGAGGTTGAAAATGAACCCCACACCATTACTGGCCCACCACCGTGCTACACTGTAGGCTTCATATTTTTTTGGCAAGGAGTGCTTCATTTGCCTTCCTCCATACATAAGGTCGGTCTGGCATCTGAACCAAAAAGGTTGAATTTGCTCTCGTCCGTGAACTGCATATTGTTCCATTATTTATCCGTTTTTATATTTACGTCAGTAAATTACACGTGGAAATTTGTGATAAATCAGTTTTTAGGGACTTCCGCAAATATATTTTCCAATAATCGCATGAAGTTGAACGCAGTTCGAAACAGGTTTGCCGTACAAATGTAAGCAGTACGAGTTTAGCTTTTGCATAGAAATTTGGTGAGTCTTAGAATGAATTCCATTGTTTCGTTAAAAAAAAAAAAAACAGTAAAATTCTGTTCTACGGCTAGGTTAGGTTAGGTTAAAGGACGCGCGGTTACCATATGGCAACCGCTCCACTCGGAGACCTATAGGTCCATTGTGTTCATCCTAGAAAAGAGTGTTAAGAGATAGAAGAAAAAGTGATTGATAGAGAAGATGAAGATAAAGGGTAGTGTAGTAGAGTGTAATCTACGGCTGAGGAGTTTGCCGTGTCGTCTTTAGCCACATGAATCTTCGGCTAGTTGAAGTATTACTACAGGGTCAGTGTTAGAAAAAGACGACAAGTCATGTGACACTAGTTCTCCCACTAGCCTATGTCTCACATTAATGAGTGCTGGGCGCAGTGGCAGAGCAAGTGTTCGATTGCCTCGATTTCTTCTTCATCTTGACAGATCCTACAGTAGTCAATGCCGTCGCTGTCCCATTTCGATGGGTGATGATACCCACCACAAGTTTTAGATCAGGTTTTGACAATGACATCAGCGACCTTGTTCTCTTCTCCGAGAGTGTGGGCCAGATTCGTTTGGGGATGGTACATCCAATTTCATCCAGCCATTTTTGTTGGATTTTCTCAGAGTAGTGTTTGTGAATAACCTGTAGGAAATGGCACAGTGGTGGTTTAACCGAGTTGTCTACTTCAATTGTAGTTGATTCGGATCCTAGTCTGGCCAATTCGTCTGCAGTCTTGTTACCTGGGATGTTAAAATGTCCAGGAACCCAACAGAGCTTGATGGATAACCCAGTATGTTCCAAGGCTTCCCTGCAGTTCAAAACAGCCCTAGACTTGATTGTAAAGGAACTCAAGGCCTTCAGTGCCGCTTTACTATCGACATATATAGTCACCTGACTACTGACTTCAATGCTCCTGAATGCGTGACCAGCAGGTCAATGGCCTTTTTGACCGCAATGATTTCCGCCTGAAATACGCTACAGTTGTTTCCAAGCTTGTAGGATTCACGAACATTAAGAGTATCACAGAAGACACCAGCTCCCGTACCACACTCCATCTTTGAACCGTCGGTATAAACAGCTATGCCACGGAAAGGTGGGTTGTTTTGAGCCCAGGCGTCTCTATCAGGTATGTGTATGTCAGGTGGGTAGAAGCTTAGTCGTGGTGAAATATAGTCACTTACAAAGTCTATATCTCCCACATTCCTTACATGCCTTAGAATCACAGAATGTCCAAAGGGTTGACTGCGCCATTCACCTAGTTCTCTGAGTCGAAGAGCACTCGTGGATGCCTGTTCCTCCACATATACATTCAGCGGGCTTAGGCCCAGTAGAGTATCCAGTGCTACTTGAGGCGTGCTCCTGTGTTCTACGGCTAACTCTAATAAAAAATATACGAGTTTCGCTTGGAGCTACTGTAGATCAGTCTTAGGTCAAATACGAATTGGTTAATACAGACCTCCCCCATAAAGGGTCAACAGTTAGAAAAATCATAACTCGTGACTGGGGGTATACATCTGTTTTTAAATAAAAATTTATTTTTATTACACCAAAATTCCCATATGGTCTAGAGGCGGGGATATCTAACAGGTGGACATTTTAATCCATCTTCATCAAAGTTCTTGAATTAATTAAAAAACCTTCCAGCCAACAGGCCTCCTGCCCACATACTACTAAACTCATGACACAATATATACTGTATTGGAACTTTTCGCGCCTAAATTTGTATAAACAAAATTACCAACACAATGACACACTCGGAGAGGAGATACTATTTTTCCGTTCATGTACCGGCATTTTTGTCCCATATTTTGGTATAGATTTTTTTTTTTCGTTTTTGCTCAGAGACATCGTCTGTCACAGTAACTCTTTTTTTGTCAGCGGTGCGAGAGGAGGTTATCTCAACGTGTGAGTATGTTGTTGTTGAGATATGTTGACAATGATTTACAACAAAATAGCTGCCATATTCCCAATAGCAATTAAAAACACAACAAAAATGCAAACGAGAGCAACAAATGGGCCAAAAGAGATCATGGTTGAGGCGCAACAACAAAACACACGCACTCACACACACACACACAAACCCAGATGTAACGAAAAAAAATATCCAATTGACTCCAACGGCAAAAAAAAATGCAACACAACACCTGCAGAGAAAAATATTACGGTCCCTCTACACCTCTCTTGCTCTCTCCCAAGAATTTTAAGATACTCACAACGACGACAACAACAACAACAATGGGGGGGACTCCGTTAACCATTAAAAACTATTCTAAATCAGAGATAATTATTTTTTTTAGTTTCATTTATGCTCTGGGTTTTCTTTCTTGGCAATTTCTTTCCCCCGTGGAGATTAGAGGAATGAGAACAAACAGCAATAAAAAACCCTCCCAACATTATTATCATCAAAAGGAGAAATGAAAACATGAGAATTAGCTGGTTATTGAATAAAGGGGAGGGGGGGAGAGGAAACATCAAATAAATGGGAGTAAAGAAAGATTACTCTTCCCCGCCTAAATACAACAGAAATTTAGAGTAAAAGAGATTGGTGTTGTTGGTTTTTTCGTTTAGAAGACTCACAGCATTGAATCTTGCTGGGAGACGACTTTGATGGGAGAAATCGAAGGCAAACTCACACATAGTTTGCTACTCCCTTCCCCCTCCCCCTCCCCCTCAACAG